AGGTCATCAACCTTCTCTGGAGGACTTATTCAGCTCTGGCTGCCTCAGTAGAGCAGCAGACATTCTTCAGGACCAGTCCCATCCTGGACACCATCTGTTAGACCCAGTACCGTCAGACAGACGCTTCAGGTCCATCAAGTCACAGACGAACACACAGAAGAACAGCTTCTACCCCGGAGCTGGAAGAGACCTGGATCCTGTCAGACACTGACTGGACCTGAGGACCTACGAGCGGCTCAACTACTTACTGTTAGTCTATAGAATCAGAACATATGTGCAGCTTTGCCACTGTGACCTTGTGCACGTGATGATTAATTAGATGGTTACATGCAGCTGCAGCTTGTGTGTTGTTTCTGCACTACTGTAGGTGCAGCGATGTGCAGCATCACCTACAGGCTGGTGGACAAACCAGAATGCTGTCTGTAGAAGACTAAGCTCATGATGCTCTTGTGATTTTTGAACTGTAGCTCTCCTACTGCACTGACTGACAGGATTGCTGCTTAATTTTGTTGTACACAGCAGTGACAAAGAAATTCTATTTATTTATTTTATTTATTTATCTATTTATTCTATTTTAATCCAGTTGCGTGTTTTCAGCCCATCTACTCCCAGATGTGCTCCAGGTGACTCCATCCCTCCTCCCCCCGTCACGTCAGTGTACCTGAGCCTGGTGTCTGAACTGGTCCCGCCCAGTTGTGCCTGCAGTTGTTTATATTTGCTGTAAACAGCTGATGGTCTTGAATCCAATAACAAGGCAAGAGATTCCACTGATTGACTGAACACCAGTTAGCTGAACCATTCCAGAGTGTGTATTGATGCTAAACTGTGCTCAAGACAAACAGCTGCTAGAGGCCTGCTGTTTTATATTTTACGACATAATAGTATGAATAAAATAAAGGAAATCACTTGAATCAGCTCCTGTGTTCAACACGGCAACATGAATCAGATGAATGTTGGATGTGGGAGTAGAAGACTTGAGTGACTCGGACTAGAGCCCCGTCACAGCCAGACGGCGGCTCCAGGGGCGTAAGCATAAATCATTACATTTAAAATTCAGATGCCAAAATATCACCATCAGGAAAACTAGTCCTACAGTTCATGTAGAATTATTTCCCTGAGGTTACACCGTTCTTCTAAAATGTGGATGTTTCACTGATTAGGAATCAAAACCTTCTGAGCTCCTGTGGGGTCGTTCCAGCCGACGTTCAGCAGCAGTCAGCCCGCTGCCATGGCTATAAAGCACATGAACAAAATCACATGAAGCAGGTTACTCATCCTCCACAGTCATGTGAGGGACATTCTCACTCAATAGTAAACCATAGTTAAGCCACAATAAACTTTAATAAATAAACCATAGTTAGCCGACTTTAGTGAATTGAGATGCACGTTGTGGTCGTACGTCAGGTCAAAGTCTTGGCAGTGAGCATTAGACTGCTGCAGCACATCAACCCCAGGAAGCTGTTTGGAGTGTTCACACAACACTTGTGTTCTCCATGGCTGGGACACTGGGCCTGTCGTGGCTCGTCTTCATACTTGTTTTCCTTCTGGTGGGACTGCAAGGAGAACCAAAGGACGCGGCTCAGAGTCGAAGCAGCAGGGACGCCAGCGATGACCGGTGAGCTTTGTGGAGATCACAGTGAACTGATGAAGTGTTGTGGCTCCGCAGTATTACTGCTAATTCTGTGTAAACATGTTGTAACGTTGTGAAATGATGCGGCGGAAGGACGGGGTCTGGCAGGCCTGGATCGATGGTGACAGTCTGACAGCGTCACCTGGTTGATTCTCTGATTGATTTAAATACACCATCTGTTGAATGCTGTAACTTTCTAGAGCTCGTATGCTGTCAGAAGACGGCCATCTCGTCTTCACAACTGGTGCCAATAAAGAGATCCGCTTCCAGGCGTCGGGCCGGATCAAAGTGGGTGATGAGGACCTCACCCAGCTGTTGAGTCAGGTAAACCCAATGTGTTTGCCCATTATTACAAACATCAGCCTGCTGATGTGAGGAAATATGACAGAAGTGGTAAAAACTGTCAACTAAATCTGCATTGTGTGAGAAACGGAGATGTGCTCCTTTTATGATTGACAACCGTTCCTCTCTGACTTCATGGTGGAATAAACCAAGTGTTCTTCTATTTCAGCATCCCAAGAATAACAGAAACAAGCAGGACTGTCCACATAAATAATAAGGAATAAGATATATATTTATATGCTGATACACTTTATTTAAATGTGAGATCTGCTGGTCTGAGCACATCAGTTTATCGTAACACAAAAGCAAAGACAGTAATCAGTCGTAACTACCTCGTTATAACTTCTTATCACTTCCTGAACCGAAGGCTTGCTGCTGCTCACATGAGACTGTTAATAGTTCACCAGTTGGAAGCAGACACAGCAAAGATCAGCAGATAAGCAAAGTGTGATTATTTAGCTTTACTGCAGCCTCTGGAGCAGTTAAATGTCATTTCTCATCTTTTCTCTCCTGGAGATGTGCTTGTAGAGACGAGCAGCTGAACAGCATAAACTGACTGATATCGTAGGAGCAACACTACGCTTTATGATTAAAACAATCAGGGGCACCACCAATATGAATTCAGAAATTAATGAAGTGATTCCACAGATTGAATGTTAATATTTAATTAAATCTACTTATTGATCAGGATCACAACCCAGAGATGTGAACTCTGACTTCACTGAAATACACGTTAGAACCGGCGATAATTCAACACATACGACTGTAATCAACCAGTAGACAACAGTGACTTAACAAACAGTGAACAAATGAACAAATGGTAAACTACTCAGCTGTGATCATCACTGGAATATTTCATATTAAATATTTGCTGTGGTTCACAATGTTCAACTTCTCTGTATTAAAACAGCTCCAGGACTCAGGCACCAGCAGGCTTACAGACTCAGGACAGTGTCCCATCATAGAACTACTTTGTAAAGGGAAAGCTCTCTGAGATTAAACTTTCTTAGGTCCAGAACACCTTTACCACCAAACACTAGTTGAATAAAACCCAGGATTTATCATGTTTATATGGGGAGACAACAACAGTGAACTTGTCACAAAGGGTTTTCTATTCTGTCTCCCTAACTGTCGCTGGTCATGTCCGTGGTGTTGTCTACTTCCTGTGTGGCTACGATCCACCACTAGACAATATGACCACATTACAGGATCATGTCCGTCGTGTTGTCTACTTCCTGTGTGGCTACGATCCACCACTAGACAATATGACCACATTACAGGATCATGTCCGTCGTGTTGT